GAAGCTCAGAGGTTGTGCCTAGCTGTTCCAAAGTTTTGTGAAGAGCCTGCTGTACCATATATGGGAGTAAGTGAAATGCTTAAATCCACGGAGAATTTTTAAAGTTTGTTCTACACTTGAATACTCATATCCAATTATTTAGTTTAAAGCCTTTGGCTTTGATTAAAGTTGTTAACATTTGAAGTGTTTAATGATGTAGCCTCCCTGGTGTGGAAGTATGAATATTTTTCTCATTTATTAACGTCCTATAGTGAAGACATAACCTTTTACTTAAAATAATTGGTTTGGAAATGGAATTATAACATTTATCTTCCCCTTCATCGTCTACAATTTATGAATTTGCTGATTATTCTTCTTCGTTGGGAGTATAAGTTACCATTTCCTTTACCCAATATGTGTATACGATACAAACACACACACTCACACGATGCACAAAAAGACTTTCAAAGAGTAAACTGAATTGCAGTTATAGCAATAAGGGGAGGGTAGAAAGGAGTGAGAGTTTATAATGTTGATCATCAGATAAAAACATCAAAGCAAGTAATGAGTCTAAATTTGATACTGATGGGACTATATAGCATTTAAAACAAAGTCACAAAAGTAAAGATTTAACAAAAAAACTAGAATATGAAATTTGAAAGATTCTTAGTACATCTCCAAGTGATCAGATTATCACAAATCAACAACACTACAACAAAAACAAAAACAAAAACCCAAAACCAAAAAACTGAAAAAACAAAAATCGACAGTCCTAAATAAAAGAGTGATGGAAGCATAGTTTCAGTAGCTGTCAGCTAAAAGGTAAATGATCTTCTAATCAATTTGCTGCTGCAAAAATAAGTCAAATGATTTTCAAGAGACACACATGAGTACTGCTACCTTAATTATATTGATTCTACCCAAAGGTATTTAAAACACAGCTACTGAGGTTAGATTTTTAAAGCTATTCTTGTACTTCTGAGCAAAGAATTAAAAATGCATGAAAGCTGAATTTTATTTTGTTTGATGGGCACTTTTTTTTTGATGGGTTCTTTGCTCATTATCAATATTGTAAGGTACCATAAGCGTGGGCTACAATTATTTCCTTAGTAAACAATGATAAAGCCAATGGGAAGAAATTAATTACATGTTCTACACTGAAATTCACACATTAATAAATTTAATTTTTAATTTTAATTTTTTTTGAGAGAGTGAGCATACACATGAGCAGGGGAGGGGCAGAGGGAGAGGGAGAGGGAAACTTAAGCAGGCTCCATGCCCATCATGGAGCCCTATGCAGGGCTTGATCTCACAACCCTTGAGACCATGACCTGAGCTAAAATCAAGAGCTAGACACTTAAACTACTGAGCCACCCAGGTGCCCATAAACATTAATAAATTGGGAAGTGTTAAAAATTTATTTCACCTAGCCAGATCTCCTACATAGGTGCATAGTTAGGTGTCCTTCGTAGGTGAAATAAGTTAACATTGTTTTTCATAATTGCAATACTTGTTTTGTTTAGGAAATGGATTAATTTCATAACTATCCATACATATTTCACGGAGAAAATATGTAGCCCTTTTGTCTAAAAATCCCCCTATGCAGAGTTGTTGAGGTTATCAATAACAGTAGGAACTATTGTGTACACTTGGTAATACTTTGTACAAGGCCTCAGTGACCTTCTGAGTGAAGAAAATTCATGTACTTATGTACTGTTAACTAGTTTTTAGCTCTCTTAACAAGCCTTTGGAGAGGACTATAATTCAAGGTAGAGGTTTATCCCACTAGCATCTGCAGAGGGAACAATTTTCCTGACAATCTCTCTCCATATATGCATAGAACACTAAAATATCAGTACAAAATTAAAAGTAGTATTAATGATGTTATTAATGATAGTAGCAGACACAGACAAAACAGAGCTATTAATCAAACAGCTTCTGAATAAGAAGCATAGATTAAGTAATGAAAGGAACAATTATTGGCATCTACTCAATTCTCTAAGTCTAGGCACACATGGGCCTATAAAACCTTATGTCTTAAAAGTTTCTTTGTGTTTGATTTCCACTGCAGAGAATGCTGATATTAAGAAACAAGATTTCTATGACTCTCCCTCATCCCTATGCTTTGGGTAGTGTTGTGACCAAAATCTTTTATAGATTATTCAAATAACCTTGTTTTTCAAAGGCAATAATGCATTCTGCCAAAAAAAAAGATTTTCAGGGCCTTTTTGAAAGGTTTCAAATTGTATTTGTACTTTTCAAATAGAAATTCTGTATAGTGTTCATTTCTTCATGGAAATACTTCAAATAAACATACTCACTGAGTTACTATTTTCAGATATCACACAGAAAACCATGTGACACTGGAGGCTTAATCAATACTATTTAATGATGCTGAAGGTATTTGTAATTATAGCAGTAGCCAGCCTCCTCTCCCTCTCATCTCTTCCTCTATACTAGCAGACTCTGTATCAAAGACAGCCCACCTTGCACTTTTCTCTTCACATTACATACAACAATAGTTATTGAAGCCATTTGGTTTCCTTAAAATGAACCACTCATTACAAAGTATCAGGATGTGAATTTCTCTAAAAAGCTTGCTTTAAGTCAAAGTAAATGCACATTCTCTTCAGGCTAGAAAACAACAAATTCTGGGTACTTAATATAGAATTACTAGGCCCATATATTATATATAAGATTATTTTATATTTGGGTGTCTTCTCTCATTGGTTGGGGTAAATTAAAGTCTTGAATTTGAGACTAAAGCTTTGTAAGCCAGAAGGCACACACTTTGCCCTTCCCTGAACAATCAAATAAACTACCTTGTAGCAGTGCCAGTAGGCATAAAAGTTTTGTTCTCTGATTTCCAAATCGAAAAGTACAGATTAATTTTTGTTTATAATGAAAATATCTATGGAATTAAATGGCTTGCACAGCCTCATCAAAAGTACGAATTTGCCGGTATAGATGTCACAAACCTTAAATTCCATCAGCTTAAGGAAAATATACTGGGTTTTGGTGTTAGATGCAAATGCACTCCAGGCCAGAGTAATTGGCCTCAAGAGCTAAGACACAGGGACTATGTTGTCCAACTCTGATACAATGCTTGTTATAGGCACTTCTGTCCAGATTGAAGTCAGGTTGTATTACAGCAAATGTAGCCAAAGGTAAAATGCTTAAAGACTCTGTATGGGTGGAAAAGGCTATTATTCTGTCTCAACTCAAAGCTGGCTGGTGTATGAGTGATGGTGGATCAGTCCCTGAGCCCTGACATCAAACCTGGGGTCTCAGAGCATCATTGACCTACAGTCATTATAGTCATCCACAGTGATTGAACAAGGATGCCTAGGCTGCTGGTACTCCCAGCTCTGGGAAAAGTGTGGGTCCAACCTCATGCCTTAAATGTTAGCCCCAGCATTTGGATTTTGAGAGACTTAGAGTCCTGCTTCAGTGATCCTTGCTTCTAAGAAAACATTTTATAATAGAGTTCTATTGGAATCCCTGCTTTTCAATGAAGGAATACTGCTAATGCCAGTTAAGTGAGTGACTCATGTGCTATCTAAGTATTTGTTCTTCAGTGGGGAACAATATTATTCAGAAGATGATAATATAGAGATATTTGTCAAGTTGTATCATTGACTACAATGTCTCTTAATTGGAAACATGTTTGTTTGATCTATGGAAGGTCCCCCTTTAACAAATGGCTAAGAGTAGTCATCAAATGAATATTGGATTCTCAGTGGAGAACTGAATCTCCTTGATGCAACTGAAATGCAATACAGTTTCTGTTAGTTCCACTGTGTTGCCACACAGACTAAGAACAAAATTAATCAGAGGCTTTTAGTCAGACAATGGGTTTCTTCTGAAATAATGATAGCTTTTGTGAGGGAGTAAAGACAGAAAGCAAAGAGGAGCTGATGGCAAATTAGAAGAAGGAGCCAAGAATTTGTCCATTTAAAGTGATTCTTGGTTTAAAGAATAATTTTTATGAGATGTTATAGAAAAGATATTATTTTTAAAACAGACTTTTAAAAAGCAAAGAATAATGGCCTGTTAAAATAATTAATGACATGAAATATGTGGAGACTGGACTTTTGGAGAGAAAGTGGTATAAAGAGTAGAAAAAAAATCTCTTTTGAATGAGCAGATTATTTGCTTTATCTTTCAGTTTATGAGTGCTTTTTTTTCAGTTTTAGAATATAAAATCTAAATCTAAGAAAATCTCTAAAAGACTAAATGATTTTTCACTGGCTTTAGAAAATAAATGTTCATGAAGCCAAATATAATGTGGAGGCAGGATAATTACATGTTACCTCTTCATTTCTTTCATTCCTTGATGCCATTAGAAATAAAAGAGCAGTAAAAATGAAATGAGTAAAGTATCAGCATTAAAACTATTTATGAAGACCTAGGTGCTCTCTTTGGGCTTGAATACATGGCAACATATGTTGGCCAGTTGTTATAGAAAATATTTGCCAAGTATATAAATAAAACAGAGACAACTTAAGATTAGATACAAGCTCTGGAAAATAAAATTTTTATAGTATAGCAGCTTATTTAACAAGAATGAAAGCAGTGTCTTCAAGAAGAATGGGGTTTATATATGCAGTCAAGGAATAGAGACAAGGAAACATAATAGAAAAACAAAACTAAAAATGATAACTCTAATCTTTAACAATGAATTATGAGCAAGATCAGGATGGGAGCCTATTTGTGATCATGTCCATATCTTAAAATGACTAAATTTTCTAAAATGGAAAGCCTCAAAATGCTTAGGAAGCTTTATGGATAATGCAAAACACCCCAAGAGTCTTCTTAATTCCCCACCTCAAAACTTTAAAAGACAGTGACTGTGAAGCTTGACTGGAACCAAGACAGACATATATTTAAAGCAGAAGGCATATCTGTGAATTCTTAACGAATGTCCAAACAGTAACAAAGAAAGAAAAAATTACCCACCTACAATAGGAATTTCAGTACAAAGATTGAATGGAGAAGGTGTCTTTAAGAGACCAACTTACGTTAATAAGTTCAACCTCCCAGATTTTTTTCAACAGGTCCATCGATGTGTAGCCATTGATTAGAAAGGCTTTGGTGTAATCACCTAGTTCAATGGAATCCAGCCACTCAGCGACAGAAGTGGGATGATAGCCATCATGGCCAATGGGTCTCATCTGTAATTTAAAAAATCACATTAGGATTAGGATTACTTTGTGTTCTGTCAAACAATAGATTTTGGCACTTGGAAGTTCATTTGATATGAAGCAACAGATCTTTTTGGATAAGAAAATAAGGAAAACCAAAATACTTTATGTACAACTCTAAGTCATTAATAATTTTCACGCTGAATTAGTTTTCACAAATGCACCCAGAAATTTCCAATTTAGTTGCTATATCCACTCCATATTTGAGAAAACAAAATATGTCAAGCTTCTGTTATAAACATTATTGACATTCTGTTGGATGGAATTTAAAATCATGTCAGTTGAGCAGTATTAAATTCAATGCTGAAGCCGCAAGAAACTGTTCCCAAAGTGTAGATGAATAATTCTTATATGTATAACATCAAAGCATGTGAAAATGACGCACGACTTAAACATCCAAAGGAATTCATGCTTATGCAAGACATGTATTATAGGTAGTGCAAATACGCTCGAGAAACATACTGCCGTGTGAAGCAGTGAAGAAGGGGCTTTTGGGTGTTTAAAGACCATGTGTTCTGCATAGACTCTACAGTATGTTAGACATGAATAGAGAACTTGCTGGCAGACAGGTTCCTATTTTTTGTCAGCTATATACAGATTTTTTTTTTCTTTAGGAGAACAAAGAAGTGTGACAGCAGCATAATGTTTCTCAGTTTAAATTGGAGTGTGAAAGTAATTTAAGCAAGAGAAACTTCTGGGTTTAAAATTTTGTATGATTATTCTAGTCTTTTAGCTTTTATTTGGAATTTTAGTTGAATTTGTGGTTCTTGGATTTTGAAGTAACTCACTTCTAAGGCTTAGCGTTGCTCTGTATGCCATGCCGTGTATCTCTTACTTCAGTTCTTACAGACAGGTGATGCTTCATCAACCAGATGTGATCCTTCAGTGAAATTCATGATGGGAATAGCAAAACTGGGCAAAATACATGGATAGTCCTATCTCTTTAGAGTCAAGGAGATAAATATCAATGGAAATCTAGATGATTCTGATTTGTGAGCAGAGAAAAGATTAGTCTGGCTGTCAGGGATTCTGATTTTAATCCTAAACATGGTAGCCTTTCTGTCACTATGCAGCATTCTCATTTTGGAGATTCTTCTTATTCTTCCATTTGTTTTTTTGGATTCAAGGTGTTCATGAGGGATCAACACCTGTGAAGGAGGGATGAGAAGCAGTGTTGTGCAGAAGAGGAGACGGATTGTGATGTGTTGTGGCGATGCTTCTGTGAACCCAGTGGGGAGCTCTGGCAAAGGTCATGTTATTGGAGGTCCCGTGCTGGGCAGCATGACTGGGCCTTTGTGCCCCATCACTCTTCGTTGCTGGATGTGGCTGCCATGGGAGAAGCATGACTCTAGCGTGCTCCTCTCTGTAGCAGAGGCAGACCCTGCAGATGCTGACAGCTGGAGGCTGTCTGCTGACCACTCCCCTGCTTCTGGGCAAGTCCTTCCTTGATGAGAGAGCCTGGAGGAGTTTCTCTGTGTCTTCCAGAATACTCTGGACTCAGATTCACCTAAGGTTAACCTTTTGTCACATTTGATTTCTACCTTTTTCTCTATACCCACTTCCTCATTCACATGCATACAACACACTTTTTGTTTTAGGTGAACCATTGGAAAGATGTTTTTTTTTCCCCTAAAACCATTTGCAGGCATATTGAAAACCCCTTGATGTTCCAGCATGCATCTTCCAAGAATAATGACATGTTCCTGCATAGCCATAGTAGCATCACACTCAAGAAATTTAACATTGATAGTTATATTACCTAATATACAGTCCAAGTTTAAATTCCCCACATATCTGCCAAATAGAATTTGTAACTTTTTTCCCCTTTTGGCTCAATCAAAGGTCAAGGCAATCATAATTTTAAGGATTTTTTTCTGCCCTTTTCTCTCTCTTTTATTCTCCTGGGAATATATTTACTCCTTCATTTGTAAATCACTTTTTCTCCTTTCTTCTTTCCTATTGTTCCCAATCTATTTTCCATTTGGAGGTTTAACTGTCCTCTATTGGGAGTTATGGTATAACTCATCATTTGCATTAGGGTCTGAACTACATCAGGCTTTTGTATGTTACTTGTACATTGGACTGACCCAGTTTAACTACTCGTTGAATGTTTGTTCAGTAACACTTAACACAATGTTTATTATGCAGTAGCTACAAATGTAAATGACAACTCAGGGTTTATAAAATGAAGTTTAGTGGCAGTTGTAAATAACTGAATGTTGTATATGTGTACAATTGAAGATTAGGATCCAAAGCAGAGGCACAAAGGTGTTAAGTACCTCATACTCTATAGAATCACAAATACATTGGGGCTAGGGAAAATCTCCTGGACTTATTAAGAGGTGGTTGACCCAGTGCTACAATCCTGATTGCTCATTGCAGCCTCAGGAAACTCACTGACTCTCGCAGTTGACAGAGTAAAATAACTAGAGAAAGGGCAAGAAGGAAGGAAGAGAGGCTCATTGGAGTTGAAATTAACAACAAAGGTCTTATTGTTAGCCATCCAGAACCTGATGACCCCAGTAGCAGATACAGGGGACAAGCTTAGGGAGTCTTGAATCAATATGGGGAAGACTCAGATGTCCCATACCGGAGAACTCTGTGTGCCCATGTGTGCATGCAAAGCACATGCATACACATGCATGCACACACACACACACACACACACACTACTCCTTTGAGAGAGTACTATTTGTCATCTGCTACACAGAGGTTGGCTGATGGTCAGAGTTGGCCAAAGAGTAGCTGTGGGATATCACTAGAACTCTTCAAAGCAAACCCTATTCGTATAAAAAGGTTTGGTTTCCTCCCTAATTCCTCCTTCTTGCCCCAGTGGCAGTAAGTTTAGAATCAGAAAAGAGAGAGGTACCAGTTTTTTGGGGGAAGCCGAAACTTGGGAAGGGGAAGGTCAAAGGGAATGATATTAGAGGCTTAAATGGATTGGAACTGAGTTTTCAATATTTTACATGACTGGAAAGTTATTGGATATGACTGAATGACATTAAAAATAGTGAAGAGAGAAGCAGTTGAACTTGGTTGAAGGCAGGATTGGAAAAGAAATCATATCAGTATCTGACTAAATGCAGTCTGCTAAGTAATCTGGTTACTCCTGTGAGACAAGTTCTCCCTGAGAAACCTTAAGGAGGTGAGAGGCAGGAACGTATTTGGTGGGAGGATGGGAAAAGGTAGAGAGTGAGAGCGAAGAGAACCTGGAGATGAACATGCTGACGTGTACAGGGGCAGTGTTGATCCAGCCACTGACTCAATAAATATTTAGTCAGTGTGTGTTCTCATAAATGTTGTGGAACAGTACAGAACAAAACAGTCATAGTCTCTCCCTCAGGGAAATTATAACTCTTAATTAGAAAGTATATAAACAGATGACCAACAAATTATGAAGGCTCTGCATACCTGAAGAGAGGAAAGCATTAGAGCCAAATGAAGTTACAAAATTAACTTGACACGTATTTAATGGTATGCAGAATGGTTACTGTGCTGCACAATAATTTCTTTAGAAGCAATTCTTCCATCTGTTCCTTCGTTTCTGTTCCTACTGTCACTACCCTGTTTAGGTTCTTGTTAGTGCTTACAAAAACTAATGCAAGAGGCTTCCACGTGGCCTCCCACTTTTCGTCCAGCTTATATCATGCTGCTGCATCAGTTTTCCAAAAAGCCAGGCTTTTAAGTCAGCGCTTGCACAAAAACCTATGGTGGCTCCTCGGTAAAAGTCCAAATGTCCTGTTCCAGAATTCCAGGACAAGTGAAATCAGGCACAAATCATCCCCATACTCCTCTGTCATGTGTACCCTAACTAGTGTGCTAAGTTGCTAGGTATGCCATGAACATGACGGTATGTGCAAGACGCTTTTGCATTTTTGCTAACATTATTTTCCATGCTTGGAATGCTTTGGCCTCTATTTCTATTGTGTCTCTCCAGGATTGGTTTCTCTTCTTTAGCTTTAAGATACAAATTTCCAAACATTTGTAAGATTCCTCACATAGATGGCCTATAGCTATCACACTAACACAAGTCAAAAATGTATCTACTTAAGCTCACAAACTGGCCATCCTTCTATGTTTCCAATATTAGTTAGTGGGAAAGTATTACATCATTTCCCAAATAGATGCTTTGGAGTCATCTTACTTTTTTCTTTCTGTTTTACTATCATATTTCATTAGGCAACAAGTTTCATAAATTTGATTTCAGTTCCCTACTTTCAAAGTGGACTTTGGAACCTGACAATAATATCTACTTCCAGTGTTGTTGTAAAGATTATATGATATAGGGCATGTAAATTGCTTAGCACAGTACTTTGAATATAATGTCTTCAATAGCTCAGTTTTGTTCCCTCACTACTGGTCTAAATTAGGCTCATGCTTATTTTTATTTGTTTATTTAGCCTCGGCTTTGAAACTGCATTACATTGAGTCTTTTAGCTGCTAATCAACTTCTAATCAAGATTCTTCTTTCCTCTTTCATCCCTCTTTCTCTTACTTCATTCCTTTTCCATCTTGTTTTAAAAAGGATTTATGCCTGCTAATCTCTTTATACTCTGCCTTTCCCCACCAGACAGCTACTTTTCAGAAATACATCTAATAAGGTCACTCAAGTAGACTGAATTGTCATTTACAATTCCTCACTTTCTTCCTTGGAATTGTGCCTTTGTGCCCTGTATTAGAATTATGCCTCTGTGTTGTATCAACTGTGATTGGAGTTACTTCTCCACCCAGTGATGTTGGCCACGTACTTGCTTGGCCAATGGTACAGGTAGAAGTATCGGTGTGGCAATTTATAGGTAAGGCTCTGTACTTCTGTGATCTATTCCTCCAAGTGTGTTTTTATGCTCTATTATAAGAATAACAAGTGGCGGAACAGTCACATAACTACTGGTCCCACGAGAAAGATGAAGACTTACGGAACAAACCTAAATGTAACCCAAAGCTTGGAGTCTACCCTGGATCACTGGACT